GGCCTCAATGTACTATTTAATAACAAATTTACTTAACACTCCCACCTCAACAAATGGTGGAATGTCCTTTGGACTGAACAGTTATTGTTCTTCTAATAGACAAAGTTTAGTTACTGGTCTTGTGTAACTATCGGTCTTGGTTGATACTTTGGCGGTACGTACTATACCATCCTTTCCGGGATATGTCTCTAGCASTATTCCAATTGGCCAATTTCCTCTTTGGAAGGTCTTGGAGTCTTTAATGATCACTAGATCTCCTTCTTGCATATTTCGCACCTGATTCGTCCATTTATTTCTGTTTGTCAGCATAGGCAAGTACTCGGTTATCCATCGGCTCCAAAATCTTTGTGCCAACACTTGAGCTTTTCTGTAACTTTTCCTCGAGTTTATTTCACGGTCTTGAACCACGTCGAATGCTGCGTTGAGATTGGGCTTGTGCAGTAAGATGTGATTTGGGGTTAATGCCTCTAAATCKTGAGGGTCTGTGCTTGCTGGTGTGATGGGTCTTGAGTTCAGGATACCTTCTACTTCTACCAGAGCAGTATTCAGGGTGTCATACTTGACGTTTTGTCCGTGAAGTATAGCATGTAAGGCTCTCTTGCAGGATCTGACGAGTCTTTCCGCTGCTCCATTCATGTGCGGTGAGCTTGGTGGAATAAACTTCCATTCTATTCCGTGACTGCTGAGATCTYGAAGTCCCTTTTCCTTCTTCAAGTTATTCCAACCTTCTCTTAGTTCTTTATTTGCACCARCAAGGTTTGTACCATTGTCAGATGTGACAGTTCTTGGATATCCTCGRCGRTTGCTAAACCTCGAAAAACAGTTGAGAAATGCATCGGTTGATAGGGACTCTGCAATCTCTAGATGAATGGCTCGTAAATTAGCACAGCAAAAGAGTACTACCCACTTCTTTACTTCATTTCGTCTTTCTTTAASGTACACAGGACCAAACAGATCAACAATGGTATGTGTAAATGGAGGTAAGAATGGAGTTAAACGACGTGCTGGCAACGATCCCATGAATGGTGGGTTAGGCTTCGCTCGCTGCTGTTTGCAGTATAGACATTCTCTTGTGTATTTCTTGATCACTGGTCGTCCATGAACTAGCCAAAACTTCAATCTGATAGAGCTAAGGACATACTCTATTGGTCCATGGGCTAATCTTTGATGATACTCAGCAACGATTAGTCTTCCAATCTCTGATCTTCCATCGATTATGACAGGGTGTCTTGCGTCGTAGTCGATTGRCGCTTCGTTTATTCTTCCTCCGACTCTCAGAAGTCCGTCTTGATCTATGGTTGGAGACATCTGTTTCAGTTTTGATCTTTTTGGTAATTCATTGGATGTCTTGAGAGCTTTCACTTCTTCTGCGAATGACTCTGCTTGTGATAACKTTATGAGTAGTTGTTCCGCTTCATGAAGTTCGTTGACTGTTAGAATTTGACCTTCTACTTCGGCTGTCTTTTCTTTAGATGCAGTAGTCTTCGTTCTCTGAAGTCTAAGTTTGCATCTGTTGATAAACTTCAGTACATACGCTGTTATACGTATGGCTTTGGAGAGAGTTGAGTAGCGCGTAAGGTCGAATACACTTCTCTTGACATCAGTAGCTTTGATGTGCACCGTCTTTCGTAGCTYCTCGTCTATAATTTCCTCGTTCTGATCCCACTTCTTCGGCCAGTATTCTTCAGGTTGCGATAGGAAGTGCGGTCCTTTTTGCCACGTACTATCCTTTGTCATCTCAGCTAGAGCTAGTCCTCGAGTGCCAGCGTCGGCGATGTTAACAGCTGTAGGGACRTATCTGACATCGATCTCTCTTTGGTTGTCTCGTAGTGCTTTGAAGTCTTCTTGTACAGCCACAATGCGATGTGCTACGTAATCTCGGTATTTATTACTGGGTTGATGAATCCAGTGTAGTACTACCATTGAATCTACCCAGAAGTAAATCTTWGCGATTTCGTAATCCAACTCATCAATAAGGGTTAATGCAAGCTTTGTTGCCATGCACAGAGCATCCAATTCTAGGCGTRGTATTGTTGACTTCTTTAGTGGTGCTACTCGTGATCTTGATGCGAGTAATTTCGTCTCGCTTGTACCGTCTTCGTAGACAAATCGTAGATACGCAACTGCGCATTTTGCTTGGGTAGAACTGTCTGAGAAGACATGAAGCTCTGTATCGCAGGGTTTCTTCGCCTGGCGGAAACATCTATCAATTGGCATCTTTTCGACTTCTTTTGATTCATCTTCCCACTTCTTCCAYTTTTTCAGCTTGTCTTCCGGAATCTCCTCGTCCCATCCAATTTTGTCGATACAGATGGTTTGGTADAATATACGTCCTCTGATGGTGAACGCACTAAGCCATCCGTGGGGATCAAAGATGGAAGATATCTTGCTTAGRATGCCTCGTGGTGTTGTTGCTGCTTCTTTGTGTTGCGGTGTGACGTGAAGACAGTCTGTTTTGGCATCATAAGTAATGCCTAAGGCACGAGAGTTTGGTAGACCGCTATACTCCGCCAGTGTTTTAACTACTGC